AAAAAAAAAATGCAGTGCCATGTGCCAACTAGCATGCAGTTGAAGGGTGAAAATAATCTAATAAACACATTGGTCCTCTCATTTTCAACTCTCAAGAAGGATCTCCTGGTGAAATATTCAATTAGCTACCAAGGGATCTGTTGTGGCAGCTTATGATTCATTGAGCAATTCCTCTCTGGCAGTCAAGTGAGTAACACTGAATGCTGTTCATAAATTAATTTCCTTACTTCCTTTTATGATTTGAAAGTCAAAAGACCAAGACTGTTAAAATTCAAGTCCCTACATGTATAAAATATTGATTTTTTTTTTTTTAATGTGTTTCTTGTTAAATAATTTTCCATGCTTTGAAATTATGGTGAAACAGTTGATTTATTTTATATGCTGGAAAATGACTGAATTTTGTGATTTTCCTTTAGTTTAATTACAGGTGGATAAGCAATGTCATTTACTTTATATTTACCTCTATTTAGTTCTATGGAGCTGTAATAAGCATTGGATTGCTAACCACAGCTTAGCAGTTCAAACCAACCATCCATCCCATAGAAGAAAGATGAGGGTTTTTTTTGCTCATGTAAAGATCTGCAGCCTCGAAAACCATATACGGGGTCACTGTGAGGCACAATCAACTAACTGCCAGTGAGTTTGAGTAATGGGAAAAAGTAGGTTAGGGAAGCCTATTGAAAACCTATAGAAGTTTGTAACCAGGGCACTAATAACAATTATAAATAACTCAGAAGATAATTAGAATGTCCATGGAGGCAGCTAAGGTTAAGGTAGGCACAAGAGGAATTAGTGAGTCTGGAGCTACACAAAGTTGTATTCACCCTCACTGGGAAGGAAGTCCTTGGAACTTGCACTTTTAATTGTTTTACGATAGAGTCGAAAGGGTGCTGACTGTCTACCATACTAACTGTGGGCTATTTCTTTTCCTGATTAAGATACTACTTTTATTATCACACCTCTGGCGTTTTTGCTTCTTGTTCGTCTTCGTCTTCTTCTTCATCTTCTTCTTCGTCTTCTTCTTCTTCTTTGCCATGAAGTCTGTACTGACCCATAGCAGCCCTAGGAGCAACAGAACAAAACACTGCCCAGTGCTACACCAAGCCCTCAATCGCTGCTAAGTTTGAGCCCACTGCTGCTGCCACTGTGCCAATCCATCTCCTTAGGGGTCTACCATTTTTTCTCTGACCCTCCAATTACCAAAGATGATATCCTTCACCAAGGATTGGTCCCTACTGATATGACCCAAGTATGAGAGACAAACTCTGGCCATCCTGGCTTTCAAGAAGCATTCTTATTGTACTTCTTCCAACAGAGATTTCTTTGTTCTTTTGGAAATCCATGGTACTTTTAATATTCTCTTCCAACACCAAATTCAAATGCATCGATGCTTCTACAGTCTTCCTTATTCACTGTCCAACTTTCACATGTGTATGAGGTTACTGAAAAATACTATGGCTTGGATCAGATGCACCTTAGTCCTCAAACTGACATTTGCTCTTCAACACTTTAAAGAGGTCTTGTACAGCAGATTTGCCTATTGCAATACGTCGCAATACGTCGTTTGATTTCTTGACTGCTACTCCCATGAGTGTTGACGTTTGCTTAAATGTCTGATGATTTCCGCATGCTGTTGGGTCACATGTCTTTGGAATGGATACAATTATGGATCTCCTCCAGGCACATGGCCAGGGGTAGCTGTCTCCCAA